TCTGTGGGTAGCAGTAATCCAAGTTTCTGCTGGTACAGGTGGTATAAGCAAGAAGCAGCAGGATCGGAGACCCCTTTCAAGTACGACAAGCCACTTCTCAGCTTCTCTGCATCCCGCGAAAGCAGCTGCTTTTACAGATGTGGTGCATGCAATTTCGCTGGCTGCACTTTATCGGGCCGAGTCGAGGTGAATGTGCTGTGTGAGTAATGCCTTTGAATGCCTTGGTGGGCGAAGGGGGTGGGCGTGCCAGGAGGGGGAGGGGCGTTCTCCTCTGGTGCCTGTGGGCCCACCATGCATCCGCTCCATCCACTGGCACAGCAGTGCCGTGGAGCGCAGGATGAGCCGCAGGGAGGTCTTGGGGCCGTGATGCAAAGGTCGGCCCAGGCTTGGCTGCTGTGAAGAAGGCAAGCTCCAGGTTAGGCAGAATCAGGAAAGGATGGAAAATACGGCTGCCAAGATTAGACCATGTAGTGCTCCTGTCACAGGAGAGGAAACAGATATTGCAGAGCTGGGGAAATGCAGAAAAGGGAGACAGAAATCAGCATGGAGCTCGGGTGATCCCTTGTCGAGGAAGGATTTCACCCACTGGAGCTGCAGACTGATTCTCACAGAAGCTTTCTTGGACTAGAGCCTAATTCATCAAGAGGGATGGACTGCCATGAAGACTTTCACATTTATATGCAGGGCATGGAAGGACGGAGGAATGAACTGCAAACCGTGGGGCCTGAAGAAAATTAAATGTAGAATGTGACGATGACACAAGCATCACATATTGCTTTTAATGTCCCTCTGGCTTCAGTGTTTATGGAGATTCCCCACTCTCCGGCCTTGCCAACCTAGGCGCCAGACATAAGCCCAGGCAGCTCCCTACTGCCGCACACCCCTCATGTCCTGGGTTATTCTGCACACAAGTTCATGCCAGAATAAGATTGTTATCCTTTAGGTTGCCACAGAACTCTTTGCTGCTTTTTGCTGCAGTGGGCTAAAATGGCTAGTGCCCTTTATTTATGTATTTGGGACATTTCTAT